GCGAAAATGATACATGCATTAAGGCCCAGCCAAACCAAAGTAGACTTGGCCAAAACGAAGCAAATTTGGCTCGGCACATTTAGAATATCATCATAGTGTGCCCCAAAAAAGCAACAACAATTACAACAACAACAACAACAACAATAAATAATAGACAAAAGGCAGAGAGACAAAAGCAAGGAGTGCCAAAAGTTGCCTTCGACTCTTGGCTTCAACTCTTGGCTTTGGCTTGGCTTTGGCTTGGCTTGGCTTTGGCATCTCATGCTTAATACAGCCAATAAAACCAGCAACAACAACAACAACAGTGCTACAACAACGGACACTCTGTGAAGGAAACTCAACAACGATAGTAAATACAACAAGAAAGAAAGGATCACTTTTGTAGCCGAAGCTGTTGATACCCTTGCAGATTGGTCGGCTCTAAGGCCCTTTAAGTATTTGTTACAAAATGATATTAACATATTTAATTCATACTTCTATAAAATTAAAAAGCTTCTTATTATTCGTTAAGAAAGTTGTTCTCACAGCAGGGAAAACTGTCGTTATGGCATCTGATTTTCATCCCAAAACTTATTGTTTTCCTCCAGTAAGAAGATGCTTCCTTCTGAGCTTTAGAAAACATTTTGTCAGAACCATAATACCCGCTGCATAGGGCATAACAACAACAAGACCAACAGAAACTCCAACGCGAAGCTGTTTGCATGCACTTTTTGGGGCCACGAGCGGGTCAGCCAACAGCAGCAGTGACAGTGGTGCACCTGTCATTTTATTGTTGTTGAATATTTACTATACGTAATATATGCAAATAAAATGGAGAATAAGTTTACACACTTATTTTTGATTATACTCCGTAAAAGAACAAAAATTATATTAATTTCATGAAAATGGTTTGAGGTATTTGTTCCTTGTGTTTATTTTTAATCAGCTTAAGCATGTAAAAATGTTCCCAGTGCCAACTTAAAAAGAAGTATAAAAGACGTAAAAAAAATGTGTTATATTTTCTTTTACATAACACAATATTATTCTCTAAGCAGCTCAAATTGAAAGTCTATTTATTTTCGTACTTTAAGATACTACTTTGTATATTACTAATTAATTCATAAGCCTATCTCCGATTATCCTGGCAACATTCAAAATTACTTCCTTTTTTTCCCCACATATCCAGCACCCGCAGCACCACTGTGCTGAGTGGCAGTACTATCGTACATGCATGGTGCCTGCCACAGACCAGTTCCACTTGCGTCGCTCCCAAAATCCACCTAATATATATGTACACGAGCAGCCACACCACACCGCAGCCCAGCACAGCAGAGTACACGTCCCCCGCACTCAGATCCCCCCACCGGGCCCGTCAGACCGATCCGAACGATCCGAAGCTCAGGCCACAAAATGCATTATGGGAAAAAAATCTAGCTAAAACGAAAGGAAGAGCCCACTGCGCCCAAAACTTCAGTCGCTGCCCTGGCCGACTGCGATCTCACGTTTTGTCGGGGAGGCTGCTGGCTGCTGGCTGAGCCCAAGCTTGAAGCTCGATCCCCCGTACGCTAACAACAGTTAGAAAACGTGGCTTTGGAACCTGTCTAAAAATAGCCACAGCGAATGCAACCAAACACACGAACCCGAGCACGAACATGGACGACACCTACAACAACAGCACATGCTCGTACTAGTAGTCAGAGAGAGAGGAGAGACCCGAGACCCGAATGAAAACGAAAATTTTAGCTGCCGCCGGGCCTCACCTCACCTACTAAGACGTCGTCGCCGTCGCCGACGCCGCCTCAAAGACGAGTCTGACTCGCGCTTCGACTCTCACTCTCTCTTTTGCAGGTAGTGCTGGTGCTGGGTGCTGGGTGCTGGGTGCTGGGCAGCGCAGCCGGCGTTGAAGCCGAGCTTCAAGAGAGTAGAGAAGCTTTGTGCGATGGTGTGAGTGCATTTGTGCCGCTGCTTCTGCTGTTTACGAGCTGAAAACGCCGGTGTCAATGGTAAAGTGCATTAATAATTTCCTCTCTTCTGTATGGACTTAGGAGGGGGAGGAGGAAGGTCCGCTGGTGATTTGGGCAAGAGGCAGAGATCGCGAGGAGATCTGGGGATGAGTAAAAGATAAGACGATCGTAAGAAGCGTGGAAAATAGCGCGATCCGGGGAAGGGCGTAGCATAGGGATAGATGGCAAAGGGGTAGAACTGTGGGCAAGGCAGGCGACAATATTTGGGCACAGGTAATGGCGATCTCGAATGATCTCTCAATGACATCTGGGGGAAGGCGAAGATCTCAGGCTGAACTGAGGAAAATTATAAACCAGAAAGAGGGGCTAAGGGGGATCGGCAATGAGTCAGTGATCGGAGGGCAATCGGTGGAAAATTCGATCATGTTTATTGGCATTTTGCCCAAAAATGATTTGTGGTGCAACCGCTTTTGCCTCTTTTTTCGAGCTGAAAGAAAAGCGGGATGGCTGATGGGAAAGGCAAGGGGAACGGCTATCACGTTGGAGAGTGATCTTGTTTATGAGGTGCTCTCCGCTTAATGCAGCAAATTTGTTACAAACTGGTAAAAGGGTTAACGAATCTGCAATTGGTTTTGATTTGGTGTGAAATGCAATTGCATTCGAGTTGAACTAAATGAATGGCTTGAACAGGGAATGGAGAGAAGGAGAGGTTGATATACCGATGGAGAGCCAATAAAATGTATTTGGCCTAGTAGTTAATATTTCTGCTCTTTCTCTCTTGGCCTGTCCTCGTCATAAATATTTTATTGAATCTTTCCAAGCCTTAATCGCATAGTTTCATTTTACCAAACAAGCATTTCTTTCTCCATTAGAACACATTCTTTCAACGCCTAAATTCACATTAAATCCTTGCCCTTTACAGCGTTTAGTTGCCCCATAAATCAGTTTCACCCTAAAGCATTTAACTAAAAATTAAATCCTTTGTGGTTAAATTTCCACACTTAACTATTTCCCTTAGGTCCTTTTCTTTGCCATCCTTGATTTAAACATTAAATCCTTTTGCGCTCTGATTTAATTTCTTTGCTATTTTGTTGCTCTCCAAAAAGTTAGACAAACAATTATCTCCTGGTACAACTAGCACCCACATATTCTGCGAAATATAGGATTGAGCTGTGATTCACCTACACACAAAAGCGGAAGTCCTGGGCCAGGGCCACCCACTCGTCGGAATGTGAAATGAGATGCAGAGAGGCATCCATCTCTCCATGCCCACTCATAGAATATAGGAGGCTGTCAGGTGGGCGTGAGAACAGTAGACAGAGACAGAGACAGCGACAGGGAGAGACAGAACTTAAACGAATACGAACCAGAAGAGAAAGCAGAACAGAACAGGTAAAAAGGCACAGTAGCAGCAGCAAATGAGGAAGAACAGCTGGGTGTATGTGTATGTGTGTGTGTGCGTGCGGAAAAGAGATGGCCAATGTCTGTTTTATGACGCACATAATTTCCGTTTTCCTTTCTGTCGTGGAAAACTGCTGTCCCACTGCACTGCATTCGGTGCGAGAGGGAAAGACGGAACGAGTGAAACAGCGGGGGGGCCGGCGCAGGCGCCCTAACAACGACGTCATCGATTTTCCTCGCACGAGCTAAGCTTTTGTTGCTGTATTTTTCGGGCTGGTAATGCCTGGCAATGACGTAATAACCTGGCCGACACAGACACAGACTTCGGGCCAAACGAAACGGCCAAAAAGGTAGGTCGTGTCCCCTCGCGCCATCTCACTCTCACTCACTCTCACTCTTACACCCCTGTACACTCACTCACTCACTCACTCACTCTCTCTCTCTGAAACAGGCAACACACGAAAAAGCGCAGCCAGCAGCCAGCAGCCGAGAGCACAAGCACAACGGCGGCGGATACTACTAGACGCCAGCTGAGGCAGAGCGTCGGCGTCGCTGCGGCTGTCGCCGCTTTGAATATAGTCGCGTGTAACCGTAAAGATAAGTTCAGTCGCGTCACAGACGCCGCATTGTTAACAGCTGTACTCTCAGAGTGCCAGCAGACACCAGAAGTAGCAACAGCAAGAGCAGCAGCAGCAACAGCAGCAGCAAGCGGCACGCTCCAAACAAATATTATTAACAAAAAGTTCTAGCTTAACTAACTAACGGTACTTCAAAGCGCACTCTCTCTCTACATACATACAACTGTCGTCTCTGTGTCTCAACGCGTTCAGTATTAATATTAACATTTAATCGGTACAAGAAAGTGCTTGGTCGCGGGCTCAAAAGTTAAACAATTGCAACAAGTTGTTGCTGGTGTTTCGTTTCGTTTTCGTTTAACATTAATGCGAACTTTGATTTGTATGCGTTCTATGCGGAAACGGAAGCCGGTTGCACACATTGCGTATGTGTAATAATTTCCCCTATGGGAAAACAGGGAAAACCCGTTGAATAGTTTCGGTATTCGGTTCTCGAAAGACATTCTTTTGGTGACATTTTCCCTAAAGATAAAATTCAACACAATTTAAAAGTTTTTGATAATTTGGCCAGCACGTGCTGCAGAACAATAAGCGCTCTCTGGCTCCGTTGCTGTGTGTGTGAAACGTCCTTGTGCCTCCTACTACTACTACGCCTTACCTATACATACACACAACACACACACACATATACACAAACGAAACGTGCGTAAGTCATTACGTCGTCAGTTTGCTTGCGTCGTCAGTGAGCTTTGCGCAAACGCCAAAAAGAAAATAAAAGAAAATAAAATAAAACAAACAAAAAAAAAACACGGCCACTAATAAAAGAAAAAGCAAATTCAACAGAGAGCACTGTGCAGCAAGTTCAAGTCTAAGGACACACACCATTAGAACAGCTGTGGCAAGGACGAAGCCAACAAAAAATGACGACTACAGCCAGGCCTGATTATAACTACAACAACAAGAAAAACAACAACAAGCAGGAGCTGTGCCAGAACGGAAACGGAAAGGGAAACCACCACCACCAGCATTGAAATTGAAACTTTCGGAACTCATTTTGGCAAGGCATTTGGTGGTCGTCCAACAAAAAAAACCGCATTGGCCACCGTGCTGGATCACAAGCGCCGCCCTGGGCGCCAGACAGGTGCCTAACCCATACCAATACAATATATCCTATATACTCGTATATGCCATTATATGTGATATATGTATATGCCCGTATTCGTGTTGTCCATGTGATTTGTGTGCTTTATGTGTACGTCTCTTTTGGTGTGTGTGTGTTTTGGATACACCCTCACACATCCTCACATCATTGTAGCGCATATCGCATATTGCACCTAATGCTCATCGCAGAAGGCTTTATCTTTTGAGTTTTGTTTGTTTGTTTGCTGACTTCTGGGGTCCACTATAATGCGCGATCGTCTTGCCTCGCTGATTGTGGTGAAGCAAGAGGGCGGCAATAACGATACAAATAATAACAACAGCCATCAGGATCATCTGCCTGCATCGATGCTGCTGCAGCCGCCCATTAAATGTGAAGCCTCGCTGTATGCCTTGTCCCCCTACGAGAGCAGTCTCTACCATGAGATCAACAACAATTCCTGCTATAGACAGAATCTAAACAATCAGCAGCAGCAGCAGCACGAGCAGCAGCACACACAACAGCAGCAGCAGCACCAGCAACAGCAGCAAGAGCAACAGCAACACCAACTGTTGCCACCACCTTTGCCACCATTGATATATCCCTGCCGCAATCTCTTTCCCGACGGCTGTGATATCACACATTTGGCCTGCTGCAGTTCCTCCTCCACATCCACATCCAGCTCCTCGTCCTCCTGCAGTCCCACCACCACCACCAACAGCAGTGGCAGTGGCAGTGTCACCAGCAGCTTTTATGCCAATGGAAACACGTGTATGTATTGGTTTTTATTTTTCCTTTTATTTTACGGTGCTGGGTTTTCGCTAATCGCCGCACACGCCGCGTATACGCAATATCACGTATACGTACACGCATTGCCCCATACGAGTAGAAGCAGCAGCAGCAGAAGCATTCGGTAAACGGTTTGCTCAATCCAAATGGTTTTTGGGGGCATGTCCCCAGGGGCGTGGGGGTGAGGCAAGAGGCGTGGCACGACGCACAATGACGACATAAATTTTCATCAACAGAGCTCAAAATGCAGCATAACAAAAAATGGTGAAAATATTCAACAAATAATAATAAAGAAAAATATGAGTGTAGTGTTTGCATTTGTGTGGGTTGTCTGTCCTTCTGTCTGTCTGTCTGCCTGTCTGTCTGTCCGTTTGTTTGTCTCTCTGCTTTGGCGCGTTGCCGCTTTTTGTTGTTGCTGCTGTTGTTGTTTTAGTCTTTTTGGCTGTTGTTGGTATTGTTGTAATGGCTTTTGTTGCCGCTGTAATACACATGTTTACCAGCGTCAGCAAAGCGTCGCAGTGCCAGCAGACGGCAGCGGACAGAAGAGCAAACGGCGTGGATAGTACAACGGACGCAGCCTGACGCAAAATGATTTATAAGCTGCACAATAAACAGAGAAAATACCAGCACACATACAGCACAGAGAGAGAGAGAGAAAAATATCGAGGAATAGCCAATGCATTTTTATTAATATCCAAGAACCGCATAAAACTGAAATACGTATTTACATATAACAGGAAAGCGAAGCCTGCGTTTGGGGGGAGCCTGAACAATTGGATACCCTTTTTTATATGGCAATGAAAGTTTATTTCCATAATTTCTGATAGTCGTTTGATGCGTTTTAAGTAAAGTTTACGTAGAAATCAGCAAAATATTATCGAACGTTGTACTTTGAGAGATTCCATTTAATGATCCCATTTTTGACTTTTGACTCACATAATGTCAGCAAATATGCTCAATTTCTAGGGTATCAAATCAAACACAGAATGAGGAGGATAGATTGCTGCACAGTTACAAATCAGACAGCTTTCTCTGGCCCACAGAACGGGGTGCTGCTGAGTGGCACAAGGGGTTGGGATTTTGGCCATTTTATTGAGCCCGCCTAATCGCTGTTGGTGTGTGGCTAAAACGGCTTGAGAAGCATTACCAATGCATTTGTTGTGGCCAAAATCGCTTGGACAGTTGTTAGCTGCCACTAAAGCATTTCTGGTCCGTATTTCTGGTCACTTCCGTCTCTGATTATTCCATGTATGATATACTAAATAGTTGGGTTATTAAAGAATTGTAAAATTCAAGAAATTGTTTGTTGTTTCAGGAAGGTTGAGTGTGTTTTTAGTTATTATTGCAAATAGTTCAATAAACTCTAGTAATCGTAGCATCTAACAGAATATCCTCAAGAGCAAAGCCCAAAACAAACTTATTAATTTAATTTGTAAGGAGCGCCCTCCCCAGACATTAATGCCACTGACAAACCCTTCAGCGTCTCCTTATAGACGCCCGTCTATTAGCAGTAGCAAAACAAAAACCACATAAATGTGCGCTCTATTTATAGGTTTTGTTGTACGGCAATGGGCGCCAAAAAATTGCCCGACAGCGGATGACAAACCAAAGCAAAACAAATTGCCGCTGAAGAACCCACAGAACATATGACCAGGTGAGGGTCTGGGTATGGGTATGGGCATGCCTTCCGATGGGGGTATGACGCCAGCGATGCCATGAAATCGAATGCAATACGTTACAGCCAGTTTAACGGATTACACGGGACACAATTTACACAATATTTCTACCCCCCCACCCCACAAACAAACGCGAAGAAAACGCAAAGCACGCGGCACGAGTGCAGCAGAAGCAGCAGCAGCAGCAACGTCATCATCTTTAACGGATTTTTGCACAAAAATATATGACGAAATAGTTGTAAGAGCCCAGCCAGCCAGCCAGGCAACTGCGTCAGCGGCAGATGCATCCCCCTCTATATATATCAAAATTAGATCAGAATTAGTTTTATTATGCATATTATATGGGTTTTTGGGGCGGGGATGACGTCGTTCGATGTGTTCGGGCATGGTTGGGTTTTCGGTTGGGTTTGGGGTTGGAGGATGAGGTGGCCAAAATGCTTTTAAAATAATCACGAGTCATCAGCCTCGTCTGCAGGTTTTTTTCTTTTTTATTTTGGTTTTTTGTTTACCCCTATGTCTCTCTCACTCTCTCTCTCTTCTTTGTTTCTATCCACTCTGTAGGGCGTGTGAAAATATTATTTTGTGATTTTATTTATTCATTCGAAAGATCTCTGGCCACATCTCTTTTTGGGCGTAACCAATTGCATTTCATCATGAGGCGCCTCGTACATATGTACATCCATCCATCTGATGCAGATTTTTTGGTACGCATCATTATCGGATCCCACTCTGATTGGGGGGGGGTCAAAACGAGACTTGATAAATGATGCAAAAATTAACAAAAATACTCACATGCTCCTACTCGCTACTCGTATCTATGACAACCCAAAGCGATAAACAAAAGATCTTCTACCGACACCAAAGTCTGCGTACGATACGCAGTCAAGTCCATTGTATAGCCAATATTCACGATTCGTCGTGCGTTTTGAGTTATCTTTGTGGCAGCTGTCGGGATGGCCATTGTTGATTGTTTGGCTGGGGTCTCTCCTCCAAGTGGATGTGGCCATAGGCACACACACACAAACACACACTCATAGCGGCTGGCTATGTTCCCCGAACAACGGTTTGCATAGCCAGACTATCAGACTACCACCAAGACCAGTAGTCTTAGCCAGATCTTTGCGTTTTGTTTTCAGTCGCTGGAGTGCTGCTTGCTACCTTCATTGAAGACCTGTAGACCGGCTGTAGCAGGTGTATCGGTGTTTGGGTGTTTGGGTGTTTGGGTGTTAGACCCACTAACATGGTTAACATGCCAACAAAAATGTGTGTGGGGGGCATACACACAATTCTAATGATTAGCTGATGCTTTGTTTTATGTGATTTTGGATCCTCTAATTGGTACTGGCACTGCTAAAGACACAGAGATGGAGGATAAATGGCAATTAAATGTTGTTGCTGCTCTTTCTTCATTGGGGTTTATGGAGAAGCTTGGGATCTATCAACGTTTAAGCGTTTGGCATAAAAGGGTCATTGCTATGTGGCGTGGCTGTTTTGTGTGTATGAAATGCAGCAGCAGATTGGGCAACTTATGATAGCTGCTGTGCAAAGCATATACGATGGGGTACATGGCAGTATATTAAGTCATAGAAAATATCAAATTAGTTGGTAATTATAGCAAATAAAATGAGTTGACTGCCATCAAAGAAATGGAGAGTAATAGGGAGCCTATACGAGGAGGCCTAGGAGTACAAGTGGCACCAGTTTTTTAACTTTAAATCTGAAGTATTTATTAATAGAAAATATGCAGAATTTATTAGCTAAGAAATTATGATTTTTGTAACTGGAACTTACTCGTTGGGAATTAATCTTTTTTTCGATTTTAAATCTAGATTCTCGTATCATTTACTAGATGGACATAATTTTATATTATTTATTACTGCAAATATGCTACTAAAATTATAAAATATCTTTCTTAATGCTCTAAAATTCAATTAAATATATTACTGATTAAACAAAGTGGAATTCTGCCTACCATGAACTGCAAGCAATTTATTGATCAATCTAGAAATTAGTTGCAGCCACAAACTTTTCATAAGTGCAGCTTTTATCGTTTCTTAACTCTATTGAGCAGTCATAAATATTAATATTCCATTTTACGATCGTACTAATCTCTGCCAATCGCTTCCTAGTTCCTGCCCTTCCCCAGGTGTACGCCACTAATGTATCTCGAACCTATCTCAACTTGCATTTGATTCACGTTCGTCTGGCACTTTTGCTCTTCATTTTCGCACTATGCGAATGAGTAAAAACCACAACAACAAAAAAAAGCAGCGAATTTGTTAATTTTCCATTTTTTTTTTTTTGTGGTTTTGTTTGGCCGGGTATGATGGCCGAAGCCCGCGTCTTGGCACTGATGGGACAGAAACTCTCAGAAACTCTCGATATTAGCGTCTCATGGAGATTGCCCGGCGACTGCTTAATTATTTGTGTTGATTTATGCGAATTTTATAACAAAAGATGCAGAGAGATACGAGATATATGCGAAAAGAGTGGAGACAGGATGGGGTAGGGGGAGTGATGCCATTATTGTCTTCATCGCTGATCGATGGCCAAGACATTGGACATGAGGCAGTTCCCCCATAGACCAGCATTAGTTCCAGTTTCAGTCGCTACACCCTTCCTTCATCATTTTTGGCTGCTTATCGATGGACGCAGAAAAACACACAAATCCATCCAAAATAATAATAAAAGAGCTGCAAATGGGATGGGATGGGATGGGATGGGGGCGAACGGAACGGAACCAACCTCAATTACGTAATAATTATAGTTTGTGTCTGGATTAATTGTATTTATTATATTGATTGTGTGTGCTTGTTTCGTTATTAATTGCCATCTGATTCCATGCGATGGATCTCGTTGGGTTTGCTTTGCGTTGCGTTGCTCTTCAATTGGTTCACACGATGGCAGGCCAGAGCTGTTGATGAACGAAAATAAATACGGAAAGCGTAAATTCCTGTCGGGCAGTGCTTTCTTCTACATTGCTAAAATAATTTCTAAATGCGTTTTGTTTTTTATTTTAAATTTAAACAATTGCCGCGTAATTAGACAGCGCGACTCCCGATCTCAATGCGGTTCGATATCCAAAAGTGTAGACAGACGAAAGAGAGATAGAGACGAAAGAGAGAGAGAGAGAAAGAGATAGAGAGAGGTATTTTCTATTCTGAAACAGGAATAGATCTTGCTGCGGGTCGATGAAATAATTTCAAGTGGTTTTCAATTCCGCATAGTTTTGTTCTGTGACTTAGGGGCACGGCATGTAATGGGTTGATAATATCGTAAATTTCATTTAGGCACACCTAAGCCCATACCAGATTCTAGGGTACATATCAGGAGAGGATCCTGTAGCAGAAGAAAATTCTGTAAATAAATGGCATATAATTTCAATACATTTTAAACTCATTTATCTACCAAATTAGAAAGAAACATCAATTCTTCACTTCATTAAATCCCAACTTTTCCCTGTACCTAATCAAGGGGTACTGCCCAGTCGTTATCTATTCCCCACCAGCTCCACCAAAACATTCCTCACTTACATTTGTTTTGATTTCGATTTCAGTTGCATTTCCTTCTCCCCGTTTTCATTAAGTATTTTCCTTCCGCAACCACTCAATGCGAGTGCAATGTCCACCAATCACATGGCGATTGCGCGATGTCACACTGTGGCATGCAACCAGAACG